TGTGTGTCTTGGTGTGTGTGTGTCTTGGTGTGTGTGTGTGTCTTGGTGTGTGTGTGCCTTGGTGTGTGTGTGTCTTTGTCTTTTGTGTGTGTCTTGGTGTGTGTGTCTTGGTGTGTGTGTGTCTTGGTGTGTGTGTGTCTGGGCAAAGTCCCATCAGTGAGCTCCTCCGGCAGGCAAGGCTGCGTTGGCTGGGTCATGTAGCCCGCATGCCCAGCCACCGCATGCCTAAACAGCTTTTGTTCGGCCGGATCGAGGGGGCTAGACGGGCGCGGCACGGGCTGGAGAAGAGATGGAGTGATGTGGTACAGGAGGACGTGGAGCTGAGTGGACTTGCCGATGACTGGTACCAGCGGTGTCAAGATCGGCCTCAGTGGAGGAGGCTCGTGAAGGACGCTACTGGGCAGTTGGAGGCAGTCGCCCTCCAACAACAACGGAGGGCGGAGGAGCGACGCTCACAACAACGAGCGGAGCGCCGGGTGGCTAAAGCACAGCAAGTTGGCACAGTAGGGGGCACAGGTGGTGCATCAGCCAGTCATCTCGGTCATCTCGGTCAGTCGACCCGTGGCACCTGGGTCTGCCCCGTGACCTCCTGCCAGCGGGCTTTCGACACTTCACGTGGCCTCAAGGTGCACTTGGCCTGGCACAAGCATCGTGGTGACGTCACCGCCACTTAGTGGCGAATGGCGGTTGTTGTTGTGTGTCTTGGTGTGTGTGTGTGTCTTGGTGTGTGTGTGTCTTGGTGTGTGTGTGTCTTGGTGTGTGCCTTGTGAGTGGAGGAGCGGTGGTGCAGCGGTTAGCGCGCTGCACTACGAACCTGGCGGACCTGAGTTCGATTCCCGCTCACAGCCTCCATCGCTTCGTGACGATTATCTGAACCGGTCCTGGACCTCCCCTAGGTCGACTCAGCCTCAGATGGGTACCTGGTACTGGCCACCCCCACCACCCCCTCGTGTGCCGTCCCAGCCTTCAGATGTGCTACTCGCTGACAGCACTTGCCCCAACAGTCCTGTTTCGGCTATACGGGGGCTCTTTGTCTTTGGTGTGTGTGGAGCGTGTGAGTGTGTGAGAGTGGCATCACTTGGCTCTCCCTGCTGCAGCCGGGACACATTGACACAGAGAGAGAGACACAGAGACACACACAGAGAGACACACACAGAGAGACACACACAGAGACAGACACACAGAGAGACAGACACACAGAGAGAGACACACAGAGAGACAGACACACAGAGAGAGACACACACAGAGACAGACACACAGAGACAGAGACACACACAGACACACACACACAGACACACACAGACACACAGAGACAGACACACACAGACACACAGAGACACACACACAGACACACAGAGACACACACACAGAGACACACACACAGAGACACACACAGAGACACACACACAGACACAGACACACACACAGAGACACAGACACACAGACACACACACACACAGAGACACAGACACACAGAGACACACACAGAGACACACAGAGACGTGACAGCCTCACCGAGCTGGGTTCTGGCTCAAACCACGTGTGTTTCCCGGACAAGCCCCCCAGTTGCAGAATCTTTTTTTTCTCTCCGCCCGATGACGACCGCTTGTGTCGCGATCGAAACGTCGTGAGTTTATTATTTTACGATTATTTTAATTTAATTTTTTTATCTACGTGACTTTACCGAAAGAACCAAAGAATATGAATTCAGGGGGGGAGATTGTTAACAAAGAGCTGGATTTAAAATCGTGGCACTGCCTTCCTCCGCTGAGCGAGAGAGCGGAATACGTGGATGAGTTAAGTGAATCGTCGAATGATGTTGTTGTTGTTGTTGTTTTTTAAGACGTTTAGAATTTAAGTTGACGGCGATTGGATTTTCGGTCTTGATGTTAACTTGATGGTTGTGAGATTTTTTTTGTTACAATGGAAAGTGTTTGTGTCTGTGTGTGGTTGTGGATGTTATGCCGAATGCGTGTGTGTGTGCCCTCTGTAAGTATACGCATGTTATGTAGTAGCATGTGTGCATATTTGCGTGTGCTGTCATTGTTGGACATCTGTGAAAAATTACTTTATCGCTCATCGGATTCCTCCAGTATAAATAAACATTATGATTCTGTATATATGCCTTCATCCAGTATATATTGTGTACATGTTGATATTGTGTGTGGTTACTTGTGTGTGTGCGTGTGCCTTCTATTATTTAGTGGTGTGTGCTTTTGCATCTCCTTGTGTGTGCCCGTGTACGTGTTTGTGTCTGATTTTGTGCAGCATGTGCTGTGTATGCGCTTACATTGTGTTTTACGTGTGGTCTACCTGTGTTTACATGTGTGTGTGTGCCTGTGCGTGTCTGCCTGATAACGTGTGTGTGTGTATGTGTGTATGTATGAATGTGTGTGTGTATGAATGTGTGTGTGTGTATGAATGTGTGTGTGTGTATGAATGTGTGTGTGTGTGTATGAATGTGTGTGTGTGTATGAATGTGTGTGTGTATGAATGTGTGTGTGTGAATGTCGCGGTTATCGCTACGCTGCGCTACGAACCTGGTGACCCGAGTTCGATCCCCGCTCATAGCCAACATCGGTGACGAATATCTTAAACCGGTCCGGGGCCTCCCCCTAGATCGACTCAGCCTTAGATGAGTACCTGATGCAATGTGTAAACATCAGCACTGAGGAGAGACAAAGGCGGCCGGGCGTGGTGCTGGCCACCCACCCCCTCGTGTGCCGTTCCGGCACTTGCCCCAGCAGTCTGTCGAAGGCTACACGGAGTATCTTTGTCTTTGCCTGTTTACGTGTCTGCGTGTTTACCTGTATACGTGCATTTACGTGTTTGTGCGAGAAGCCACTCTGCCAATTCGCCTGTACCTTTGCCTTCTATGCGTACGTACGGTGGACTTCTTTCGCACCGTACATAGTCGGTCGTGGCTCATCGGAGCTGCGTGCGTATGGTGCCTGTCCGTGCGTGCCTGTTTGTATCTCTGTCCACGCGTACGTATCCTGCGGAGTGCTTGGGTACGTTTGAATTGTGTTGGCGAGTCGGTGAAATTGCCCTTTCTTCATCTCACTTCGGCTGGTGCCTTGTGATGGCAGTAACAGCTTGCAGCAGAGGTCGCAAACGGGTTTTGATTCCTTACCCGTACCCGTACCCGGCCGCACCAGGGTCGCAAATGGGTACCCGTACCCGGCCGGGTACGGGTACCCGGGTACGGGTAGCCGGGTATCGGGTAGGGTACGGGTATCGGGTACCCGGTTGCGACCTCTGGCTTGCAGACAGACATTCAAGTGGATGGAAGTCGAGTAGTAAAACAAAAATGTAATCCTCCTCCACCCCCCATCTCTCTCTTTCTCTCTCTCCATCCGGTCAAGGTTATATTTATATCTCATGACATATATCCCAAGCTACAGGGGGTATCCTATCACAAGTCAAGGAAAATCTCCGTGTCAAGGCGGTTGTGCCTCATGCGAGCCAGCCCCTTGCTCGACATTTGCTGAACTCCCAAACACCGGTCTCAAAGGGGTGAAACGCCACGGTGGGGCGGTGATTAACCGGTAAAGTGTAGGTACGTGCTGTCATTGCAACCTTCTCCCAAGACGTCCGGCTAGCGTGGAAGAGTAGGCCAAAGTTAGCCTCTAGAGCAGTAGTTCTTTATCCTTTGCTGAGGTACTTGCAACTCGTTTGGTTCTCAATCGTAAAACAAAAAAATGTAGTAATGTTAATAAATCCATAGCATTGATGAAACAAAGTAAGTTGTCCATGATAGAGGATTTTTTTTGGGTTAGATCGCGTAAATATATAAATGTGTCGCTAAACAGAATTGGCACGTTCTGTTTACGTGACAAACCTTACTTATTCGCTGTGTTGGGTGGTGGCGGGGTTTAACGACACATTAATATTTCGATTTAAAGCTGTCGTGACTGCAGGGATTCATATTCTTGGTTCTTTCGGTAAAGCCACGTAAATTGTATTATTATTTTATTATTTCCCTTCTACGTGACTTTACCGAAAGAACCAAGAATATGACACATTCATATATTTACACAACCTAACCCAAAAAAACCTCTTATGGACGATATTGGTCGCAAGAGCCTGCTACGTGTTGCCCGTGATGCATTTGTGTGTTTGATGATTAAGCTTAAAAAAAAGAATCTTGCCAATGTCTCGCACCCTCTGGGTGTGCGTGCACCCCAGGTGAAGAGCCGGCGATGTAGGGAGTGGGTCTCAAGCGCAACATCTCACGGAGGCCCTTCCTGTCGGCAGTGGCGTGAGCAGGGACATTGCAGAGCTGCCACCTTGTTGATAATTGTTTTTTTACCCTTCTATCTGGCAACAAAACTGACACCTTTTTTTTACAAGGAGTCATGTTTGCATAGACCACAATACCTGCAGTCGTAATGCAAACAAAAAACACAACTCTGATGATGTATGCACTGTCCTTGAAGTTGATTGGTCCACACCCGAGACAGCTTTCCTTAGAGCCTAGTCTCACATGGTGTTGGACCAGATGACGCCAAAAGGCGCACAACTCAAAGACAATGCACCATCAGAGTATGAGAGCTCGGGGTAAAAAAAACAAATATCATATTTTTCTACTGGCAAATGAGGTTCCCATTGTGTAAATGCCACCTTGTTATTTTACTTTCTTTTCAACGCAATCGTCCCAAATCATTCCTGTGCTCTTCCCTTATTTTGCCGCGGGAAAGGGAAATGCCTGAGGAAGATGGGGAACGTCTTGATGGGGTAGTGGAGGCGGGTGGGGGAAGGGGGGAGGGACGGGGTACACCAAAATAGAAGAGGGGGGGATTTGCCAGAGAGATGAAGTAACATCGGATGTTATTGAGAAGAGTGTGGGCGGTTCAAGAAAAACCGTCAGAGCGCTCGGAACACAACAAAGAACGAAAAAAAAATGAACCCCCCCCCCCCTCGTGTAGCCTTTAACAGACTGGTGGGGCGAGAAGCTCCGAAGGCCGGCTCGACACACGACGCGGTGGTGGGTGGTGTGGCGAGCACCACGCCCGGTCGCCTTTGTCTCTCCGGTTTGTGATGTTTTGCACACCGCACCGGGTGCTCATTTGAGGCCGAGTCGACCTTAGGGAGGGGCATGGGGGGGCCGGGGAGGCGGGGCTAGAGGTCCAGGACCGGTTTGGATAATCGTCACCGGTGTTGGCCGTGAGCGGGAATCGAACTCGGGTCACCAGGTTCGTAGCGCTAACCGCAACGCCACCGCTCCCGCTTAACAAAACGCACGCGCGCGCACGCACGCTGTGGTACAAGGGCACACGCGTGCGCACACACACACAACACCTCCTGCGTGTATCATGTGAGGATCAGAGGCTGTTTATAGCGAGAGAGGAAACAAATATCCCATTGGCTTTTTCCCCTGTCGCTCTGTGGGTTGTGAAGATGTTGCAGAGCGAGACGTGGGGGGGGGGAGAGGGCTGCGGTTTATATCGCACAGCATCGGTGCGGTCGTCGCGACTGCGTGTCTGTCCGTGCGACTTCTTCGTGTTCCGTTGGATCCCAGTAAAATATGGCAAAGTTGGGCCAAAGTTGGGCAAAAGTTGGGCCAACGTTGAGCCAAAGTTGGGCAAACGTTGAGCCAACGTTGAGCCAACGTTGGGCCAAAGTTGGGCAAAAGTTGGGCCAACGTTGAGCCAACGTTGAGCCAACGTTGAGCCAACGTTGGGCCAACGTTGAGCGAACGTTGGGCCAACGTTGAGCGAACGTTGGGCCAACGTTGAGCGAACGTTGGGTCAAACGTTGGGCCAACGTTTGGCCAACAATGAGGCAACGTTTACTTCTTCTCGGTACGGCTGATGCTGATGATGTCGAGCAACAGCTGTGATTTTACTTTGAGGTGTAGCGGATTGGTGCATCGCTGCTGTGATGGGTCTCTCTGTGAGTCTGTGGGTCTTTATCTGAGAGTATGGGTCTCTCTGTGAGTCTGTGGGTCTCTATCTGAGTGTATGGGTCATTGTGTGAGTCTGTGGGTCTCTATCTGAGTGTATGGGTCATTGTGTGAGTCTGTGGGTCTCTATCTGAGTGTATGGGTCATTGTGTGAGTCTGTGGGTCTCTATCTGAGAGTATGGGTCTCTCTGCGAGTCTGCAGGTCTCTATCTGAGTGTATGGGTCATTGTGTGAGTCTGTGGGTCTCTATCTGAGTGTATGGGTCTTTGTGTGAGTCTGTGGGTCTCTATCTGAGTGTATGAGTCATTATGTGAGTCTGTGGGTCTCTATGCGAGTGTATGAGTCTTTGTGTGAGTCTGCAGATCTCTATCTGAGTGAATGGGTCTCTCTGTGAGTCTGTGGGTCTCTATCTGAGTGTATGGGTCATTGTGTGAGTCTGTGGGTCTCTATCTGAGTGTATGGGTCTTTGTGTGAGTCTGTGGGTCTCTATCTGAGTGTATGAGCCATTATGTGAGTCTGTGGGTCTCTATGCGAGTGTATGGGTCATTGTGTGAGTCTGCAGGTCTCTATCTGAGTGTATGGGTCTTTGTGTGAGTCTGTGGGTCTCTTTGCGAGTGTATGGGTCTTTGTGTGAGTCTGTGGGTCTCTATGAAAGTGTATGGGTCTCGGTGTTAATCTATTGATCTTTTGATGAGTCTACAGGTCCCAGTATGAATGTATGGGTTTCATTGTGAAAATATATCTCAGTGAAAGTCTATGGGTCTCTATGTGAATTTCTAGATCTCTGTGTGAGTCTATGGGTCTCTATGGGAGTGTATGGGTTTCAGTGTGAATCTATTGATCTCTGTGTGAATCAATGGGTCTCAATGCGAGTCTATGGGTCTCGGTGTGAATCTATAGATCTCTGTGTGAATCAATGGGTCTCAATGCGAGTCTATGGGTCTCGGTGTGAATCTATTGATCTCTGTGTGAATCAATGAGTCTCAATGCGAGTCTATGGGTCTCTGTGTGAATCTATTGATCTGTCTTCTTGTTTGTATAGCTGATGTTGATGCAGAGCGACTGCTGTGTTTTTACATCGAGGTGGTGGTTGGTGAGCCAGCTGATTGCATCAGGAGTATCATCGCCGCTGTGACGATGCCTTCTCCCCCCTCTTCCTCCCCCCCCCCTGCTCCCTCTCCTCCCCCCGTGGCCCCTCCTCCCCCCTCCTCCCCCCTCCCCCCTCCTCTTCCATGTCTGTGAACCAGGCGTTGAGTCGTTATCTGTTCCGTAGTTTTTTTCTGGAGTTGGGTGACCTTCCGTGGTCCCCCGGAATTTTTATTTTTATTTTTCCATTTGTGCGTCGACAAATCCACGGCGTGCGTGCGGATGCCGTTGAGGGCTCGTGCCACCGTGAGCTTCGCGGACGATCGAAGCCCCCAGGGGTCTTTTGGATGTTGCACGTCGCGCGTTCAGCTGCGGATAAAGCCTGCCCTGTTTCTGCATCATTGCACCCACAGTGGGCTGTAGCTTTGGTGACGATGCTTGAGCCCCGTTTGCCGGTGATTCCTGTGAAACGGCAGCGCGTCCGTAATTAGTGCAGGTTGATTGTCGCGGGGGTGGGTGTTTTTTTTTTAAGACGCCTTTAAAAAAAAAGATAAAATTCAACAAGTTTAAAAATAAGCTCACCCCATGGGGTCAGCTTGACCCTTACCAGTCACACCTCTACCCACGCCCGGCCTTTCCTGAGTAAGTGTGCGTGCCCGTGCGTGTCTCATCGTAGTCAAGTGGAGCGGTGGCGTCGCTGTTAGCGCTACGCTGCGCTACGAACCCCGGGGACCCGAGTTCGATTACCGCTCACGGCCGGCACCAGCGATGATGATCTGAACCGGTACCTGGGCTTTCCCTTGGGTCTACTCAGCCTCAAATGAGTACCCGGTGCAACGTGTAAATATCGGCACTGGGGAGACAAAGGTGGCCGGGCGTGGTGCTGGCCACCCACCTCCTCGTGTGCCGTGCCGGCCTTCATAGGTGCTGCTCGCTAACAGGACAGGGGTGGCCAGTACCATGCCCGGCCGCCTTTGTCTCTCCAGTGGCGATGTTTACACACTGCACCCAGGTACTCATTTCAGGCTGAGTCGACCCAAAGGAAGTCCCAGGGCCGGTTCAGATATTAGTCACCGATGTTGGCCGTGAGCGGGAATCAAACTCGGGCGGCCGGGTTTCGTAGCACACTGCGCTAACCGCGCACACACGCACACGCGCAAGTACACACACAGCAACTGCCATTCACCATTCAGTGCCAGTGACATCACCGCAGTGCTTGTGCCAGGCGAACTGCACTTTGACGCTTGGTCACGTGGTGGCTGGGCATGCCGGGCTATGAGACACAGCCCCACGCACCATCGTCATCATCATCATCATCCTGGCCGGTGTGAAGATCTGTGCGAGCTCCTCGCACAGTCCAGTCCGGCGAAATCCAGGACGGGATCTGTCGGTTAGGCCAGTGCGAACGATCAAAGTCCACGCAGGTGTTCCTTGCTGAAGGGCGCTCACGTTTGTCAAACGTATAAAAGACAGGGAGGGGGAGGTTTATTGCGCCTGAAAAGATCTGGCTCGCACGAATGACAAGGGAATATGTCATCCTCCTTCATATCCTTTACAGTCTATTGGAGAAAGTGTCGTTTGTGAGCTTCTTATTGAGCGGGGGTATGACGCACGAGGGCAGGAGCATGACTGGCCGTCATTGTATTCACAGCGGTGATGTTTACACAGTGGTACTCATTTAAGGCTGAGTCGACCTTGGGCACCGTTCTTCGTCGCAAGGCCCCACGGGCCCACTGGTGGCCTTTAGTGCGGCCCCCTGACATGCGCCCGCCCCCCACGTGACAATACACAAATGGTGATAACTCCCATCATCATCATCGTCGTCGTTGTGCTGCTGTCAAACCCACAAATGTGTGGCGGCACCCTCACACTGATGATGTCTTATCGGCGAAAGTGACACCCCTTCCCGCACCCCCTCTGAAAATGAGTGAAGGTCGCTGGCGTCGTGGGGGGGAGGGGGGGAGACCGGGACCGGTTCGGCTCTTCGACGCCGATGTTGTCTGCGAGCGGGAATCGAACTTGGGTAGCCCGGGTTCGTAGCGTAGCCCTACAAAGAAAAAATATCCCCCCCCTCGTATAGCCTCAACATACTTCCGGGGCAAAGTGCTGTCAACGGACTGTCTGGCTGTGCGGTTGGCCTGGACGGCCGCGGTCGGTCCGAGTTGCCCGTTTGACGAGCGGTGACCTCATGAGTACGTGACCCCCTCCCCCCCCCCCCCCCCGTGTCCCCACTGCCCCTCTGTGGTCACGCAGATGAGATCATGGAGGCGGAGTGCAGGGAGCTGCGGGCTCGCGACCTGAAGGTGCTCCTGGAGCAAGGGCCTGCCGTGCTCACAGGTGAGTGGTGGTGGTCGTGGGGCGGGGGGGGGGGGTTGGAGGGGGCGAGGGGGGGGGCCGTGGGGGAGGGGTGATCCACAGCGTCTACAGGTGCTCGTTCTCAGGCTACGTAGCTCTTTTTGAGAAGCAACTTGGCTCTCACAAACGATAGCCCCAACGGAAGTGGCTTGTCGCGTGGAAATGTATCGCAGCCAAATGATCTAAAGCGCACGTTGATTCTTAATGGGGAGGGTAAAACCGGAGGACCCGGAATAAAAAAAAAAATTCCACGCGACGTCACAGACTCCAAATATACAGGCGTCGGGAATCGGGATCAAACCCACGACCTCCTGCGTACGAGGCGAGGGAGGTAACATTTGACTGCAGGCTTCTCCCGTGCCACGCTGGCCAGGGGAGTTGTTTGGCCGAACTTCGGTGAGGGTTGGTGGAAGGTGGCCCAGGAACACTTCCAATGCTACGCAATCTTACCCACAAGTAAACACAGATTGAATGCAGGCTGTGGTGAATAATATTAGTTTCAGTGAATCCATACAATACGGATGCATTTACAGGCAGTTCCCCGACTTACGAACATACACACACTTACACTATGAGACCTCCTTTACCAGTGGCAAAATATAGTAATAGGTTTTTACCCTTTCAACTGGTACAAAAACTGACACCTTTATACAAGGCGGCATGTTTGCAATAACCACAACACAAGCAGTCAAAATGCAAACAGAAATAATTATCATCATCAGAGTTGTTTATTTTTGTTTGCATTTTGACTGCTTGTGTTGTGGTTATTGCAAATATGATGCCTCGTATAAAGGTGTCAGTTTTTGTACCAGTTGAAAGGGTAAAAACCTATTACTAATACACACACTTACGAACGAACTTCCGTAAGATGCATATTTTTAAATCCTTTATATTAAGTTCACTTGCTTGCGCGCTTACGACCGTGCAAATCTTTCGGTCGTTTTTTAACCCACTTCCTGTTATCCAATCGAGCTGACATTTTGCACACAGACTCGTTGTGCGTGACAATTTATGTTCGTGAAATTTTTTTTCCAAAATTTTACACTTTTTAGGAAAAAATTAATTATATTTAATTACCAATTGCTTAATGGTGGCAGGCAATCATCTGACCCATAGGTGGCAGCCATCTCAAGCCAGAGGACGAGAGGACTCTAGCCGCCCGTTTCAAAGACCAATGTGGGCTGGGTTGTGGCCCATTGAACACGCATATAAAGGATTTATAGTGAAAAACTTTGTTTTTACGGGTTAATTTTTTTACCATCCGGCTTGTGAACTCGTGCTCGCGGACAGACCCGCGTAACTGTTTTGTTTATTGAGCGATCCTCCGCGTGATGCAATGAGTCACAGCATCCGGTTGGGAGCGGGTGTTTTTTTCTCTGTTTTGGCAAGATTGAGAAATGGACAACGCGCTTCTCGTCTGTCCGCATAGGACCACATCTGTAAATGCAAAGCAGAAATGAATATTTCGGTGTTGCATATGATCTGAACGAGGAAACAAAAAAAACGTGTTTGGCAATCGGTTTCAGGATGATAATTCTGCGTGGCCGTGCGTGCTTGGCTTTGCTTTCTGATGCGTAGGCAAAAACAGTAAAAAAATAAACGAAACGTCTCAAGCCTGAGGAATCAACGGTCGTGATTATGACCGCCTTGATGGGCGGCGGCGATTTTGACCGCGACCGACGCCGTGCCGGGCAAAATTGTCACACTGTCGCGTGCGCATTTGAGACGAAGCAACAAACAACATACCACAGACCGCCCGGCTCACACCTCACCTCTACGCTTTGCTTTTGAACCTCCGATTGGTCTAACACAGGGGCGGGTAACGTTTTCATTGCCGAGAGCCAAATAGGCCTTTCCAGTAGCCTTCTTGTCGGGCGACCACACATTAGCGCGCACACACGCACGCCTCTGCCACGTCCGTCACGGCAAAAGGCCACTGCGGTGACAGACATTAGTGAGCGTGCTAAAATTAGATCGCGCAATGTTGATGCCACGATGAAAATATTTCCCCTCCCGGTGCCCGGCCAGTGCTGCTGTTTGCCTGCGGGCGATGGATGCGGTTGTGGGCGGGCCGCTTCCAAGTGGTAGGCAGAGGTCCGTCCGTCCATGTCAGAGGTCGCAACCAGGTACCCGATACCCATACCCTATCCGATACCCGGCTACCCGTACCCGGCCAGGTACGGGTACGGGTAGGCCGTGAGTCACTGGTGAGTAACCGTTTGTCACTCATTTCGGGTAGGGTACGGGTACCCGAGACATTAAGCGTGCCGTTTTCTTTTTTGTCGGTCGCGTAATGATCCACCACTCAAGATTACGCACTCACACGTAGTTACCACGTCTTCCGAAATTGTGAGATCTTCTTCTTCTTGTGATATGTCCCAGGTTTTTGTACCGCAGAGGTGCCAAGCCTAGTGGTAGGCCTCATGTGGCATTGGCCGCTGTGGCAAGATCTTAACTCCTTCGCCTGGTGCGCAGGAGGTCGTGGGTTCGATCCCGACCCTTGGTGCCTGTTGTATATTTGGAGTTTGTTCTCCCCATGGTTGTTTGGATTTTTCTCCAGGTCCTTCGGTTTTACCCTCCCTCCACATTTAGAGTATTTGGCTGCGATAAATTTCCACTTTTTTGAGATATCATTTGTAATGGCCAGGCCGCTTCTGAAAAAATAGCTCAGCAGGCTTTACCTGGTAAAATAATTTTTTTTTAGATTAGTTTGAAATGAAGCCTTTGGTAATATCTGGTCCATGAGAAAGTCACACGTATCTCAAAGTAAAAACATGAAAATAGAAGTGTAAATGGGAAAATGTTTGAGATGATTTTACATTAAATGGTTTGTGACAAGCGTATTTATGCTGCAAATTCCTGTAACAGTAAAAAAATGTTTTATTGTACGTTGATGAAATTGAAAATGTAAATGAGCGCAGCGTAATTGTTGCAATTTTTTTTACATTTTTGAGTAAAATGAGAAGTTAAAAATGTTCCTGCTCACACTTCCAAAACATTACAACAAGGGAAGTGCGTTTTTTATGCAGGGCGAGTGAGCGACAGTTCTGAAGTTATAATCTGGAAATCGTGATGGGAGAACTTTAATAATAATGATGGGCGATTAAAGAGGAGATGAGCTCAGTGAATGCATCTCTTCATGACGGTTTAGCTAAAGATGCAGATGATGTCACCCAACATTTCGTCAAGCAACGGATACAAGTTTTATGCGTTTTTCCACTCAGCGTTATTACGTCTGTGTGGGAAAACTGCAGATTTAGGAGAAGGCGTGGAGGGGAGTAGAGTGAGATGAGAGGGGAGCGGTAGGAGAGTTCGTGGAGGGGAGTAGAGTGAGATGAGAGGGGAGAGGTAGGAGAGTGCGTGGAGGGGAGTAGAGTGAGATGAGAGGGGAGAGGCAGCGGATTGCGTGGAGGAGAGTAGAGTAAGACGAGAGGGGAGAGGTAAGAGAGATTGTGGAGGGGAGTAGAGCGAGATGAGAGGGGAGAGGGAGGCAGGGGGCAATTCCACGTGAAACACTGCAGTCAGTGACTGCAATCTTGAAATTGTTCGGTGGGGGTTGGGATGGGTGGGTTGATTGGGAGCCAGTAGAGCTCTCTGGCGATTGGGCTGATGCGTTCTCATTTACGCGTTTGGATGCTCTCGCATCGGGAGTCTCCACCTCTAACCCCCTGGGGCAATCAGGCAGTCTGTAGCCGGGCACGGTTGCGGCGCTGCGATGGGGGAGATGTTAATTACTTCGACTGGTATACAGGAGTTCGTGGGTTCGATCCCGACCCTGTGATGCCTGATTTATATTTGGAGTTTGCGCGTCTCTCTCTCTCTCCCCGTGGTCCCGTGGATATTTCTTCGGGTCCTCCGGTTTTTCCCTCCACATTTAGAATCAACGTGTGTTTAGAGTATTTGGCTTCTTATACATTTCCACATGATGTGAATACATACATAGGTTTGATGAAACAAAACAGTTGTTTTCGATGATTTACCTTGAACAAAAATCTGGCCGTGTCTCGTACCCCCAGGGAGGGCATCTCGTACCCCCAGGGAGGGCATCTCGCACTCCCAGGGAGGGCATGCACCCCAGGTTAAGAAGCACTGGTTTAGAGTATTTGGCTGCTATACATTCCCGCGTCATGAGCCACTTCGTTGGGCTAGCATTTGTGCTGGCCAGGTCACTTCTGAAAAAGAGCTACATAGCTCAGTGGCCCTTACCTGCTAAAATCGAAAAGTTTTTTAAAATAGTTTTTAGACTCGCTGGCGAGAGCTCGCAAGGGGAGCGCTCGCAAAAGGATTAAGCCCTCCTGTGATTCCCATGCCGTGCATGACCTTGCTTGACCTCTCTTTAGAGGCCTGCTGCCTGAAAGAAAAAGCGGAATTTCTTAGGGGGCCAACGCTCATTTAATTATTCACGCTGTGTACAAAGCTCACTTGCCGGCCGCGGTTAGGATCGTGGCCTATTTTTTCCGCAGTTGCCCGCTTGCTTCCAAAAACAGATGTCTTCTTGGCATGTCGGTTTTTAACAACAAGAAAAAAAATTTGCTTTAAATAACTGTCAAATTTAGCGGATGATGATGATAGTGGTGGGTGGTGATGGTGACCCTTATGTGAATAACACTGGTCAACAATAAAAAAAACTTTTTTTTTCTGGCCTGGACTTTTGCAGTTGTTTTAGACTAATTTCAGGGTGCCGATTCCAAATCTGATCTCAGATTTGCTCTATCACATCTCATTTTTATGCTATCGGCATACCCCATTTTCATTGATTTTACCCGAAATTAACTCTGTCACTTATGATTGCAAGTTGTTGCGAGTCAGTGACTGCTTTAGTGTTAAAATATGGTGCTGTATTTTTAGGATAGTGTGTTTATAATATCATTTTATGTAGATATTCACATTTATTTAATATTTTTCTTCTGCTGTTTTTATTGAAAATGCAATATTTGATATCTCCAAATGTGATAGACAAAAACTGATGCCAGATTTGGAATCAGCACCCCAAAATTACCTTATTACCGTTGGAATACCTTATGCCAGAAAAAGTGTGTTGACCAGTGTAATCAGTCGAGTAGCTGTTGAGTGTGCAGACGGTGCCATCTGCAACAGGCCCCAAAGAGGGGAAATTGGAAGGGGGGGGGGTGGAGGGGGGGCGCGGGGGGAGGAGGAGGGGGGGGGTGCCCATTTCTTTCCCACCCATGTTGGACATCTGCGACAAAATAGCTTCATAGCTCATCGGATTCCTCCTGCAGCCTAAGCAAAGATTCTAATTGCATCTATTTTTTCACAACCTGTATTAGTTTTGCCACCTGCGGCTGAGGATGGCGCCGTGGCGTCATGGTGATAGCAGCGCCACAGGACTGGCGGTCCCGAGATGTCCCGAGCATCTTGGTGAAGTGCTCACCGTGGGGGGGAGTGTGGTGTGCGGAGCGTGCCGGCGGTGGTGTGTTGTTGGCTGACGTTGTTCCTCCGATTTAAAACCTGGAGCGCCCAGACCCCCACTCTCTCTCTCGCGGCTGGTATACAACGTCACTGTTTACGATGGATGCGTCGTGTGTTTTTTTCTTCTCTTGAATGTTTACGGAACAGATCGGGCAGGTGCCCCGTTATTAATCACGTCCTCCGAGGCCTTGTTCACGTTTGAAGTTTTACACGTACGGACATTCTGCGGTGTTGAGTTTGAACTTTTTTCCCTTTTCAAACGGCCCACGACCGACAGCACCTGGAACCGCGGTCCCCAAATCTCGCCAGAACTCGGCAGCGAACTTAAGCGGGGGCCTTGAGCCCGGACATCGCGTGGAGGGAGCGATGACCATCGTGCGAGCGTGCCAGGGCGTCGTGGGGTGACCGCAGAGGGCAAACGCTTCAAAAACCACATTTGCTGCTGCACAATTACCGTGCCGCACCGTTCCACCTCTTCCCTCGCACGCCTCTTCCAGACGCCACGCGATACAGAATACCGCTTCCGAAGGCAGGGAGTCAACGGGCGCGGAAGCACGGTGCTGCACAGTGCTGCACAGTGCATACAAACACACACACACGAACACGCGTACACACGAACACGCATACACATGAACATGCATTCGCACGAACACGCATACAAACAAACACACACACACGAACACACACACACACACGAACACACACACACGCGAACACACACACACAAACAAACAAACAAACACACATACACACACACACAAACACACACGCGAGAGGCATACGTTATTCAACCGGCGTGCTGCAGGTGCCCATTGGGATTGGGGCGGGTGGCGGCACGGTCAGGTCGTGGGGAGCGGTGCGCGAGAGGGAGCGGGGCGGGTGGGGAAAAAAGCTTTGCGTGCAAGGTTGCAGCTAAAAATAATCGTCGGTGTGCAAGCAGGCCCGCCCGTGGCAATACGAAGAGAAGAGCGGGTGTGCGGGCGCTTGCGTCAGAGGCGTAGCTAGGGGGGGGGGGTACATGTGTCCCCGGGCGCCAAGGTAAAGGGGCGCCAAAATTAGGCTTACAGCGTTACATTATAACTTATTGCGGCGGGCGCGGCAGCCTGGAACTACTGCACAAATCTACACCTCAACCTAAAAGTTTATATATCCCGCCACACACAGCCTACATGTCACGTAATTACATTTTGGTATGTGATTAAACGGGGGGAGGCGCCAATTTTATAGTTCGTCCCCGGGCGCAAAATATCCTAGCTACGCCACTGGCTTGCGTGCATGATCGTCATCGGCCACGGTCAATCCGCTGCTGGATGGAGGTGGCCGTAGCCTATATTCTTAGGTTTTTTCGGTAAAGTCACATAGGTAAAAAAATTAAAATGAATAAAAGTAAAATAAAAAAGATATAAAATACTTTTATTAATTTTAATTTTTTACCTACGTGACTTTACCGAAAAAACCTAAGAATATGAATACTTGCAGTCACGAAGGCTTCAAATCTAGAATTATATTCTTAGGTTTTTTCGGTAAAGTCACGTAGGTAAAAAATTTAAATTAGTAAAATAAAAATAAAATAAAAATCACGTTTTGGAGGCAACACAAGCTTCCGTCTTCAGGAGGAACCGTCACAGCACGACTGCTGTATCAAGTGGCCGTAGCGTCGATCTCGCGATGTTCACGAAACTGCGTCCTCGTCTGCGTACGCGGCGACGTCGAAGTGATATCCCGGCGATGTTTCTGTCGCTTCGGGGGCTGTCACCTCTCAATCTGGAGGGAATCTGCTCCCGAGGCATTCATTCTTCTCTCCACAATGGAGGTTTCTTTTTGGGTTCGATCGCGTGATTTATATAAATGTTGTGCCGTTCAAACCCGCCACCATAACCACCCGACACGGCCAATTAGTAAGGTTTGTCGCGTGAACAAAACACGCCAATTCGTTACTAGTTCAGCGCACCGATTGTGCGTTGGCGAAGTGAGCCCACAACTTTTACAATTTGAGTACGGTGACGCTTTGCTGGTGATTACAACCAGTCTCATCAGGCGACAGCCAGAGTTGATGAAGTTCAACATTCATTTTTCGATTTAAAGCTTTCGTGACTGCAGGGATTCATCTTCTTGGTTCTTTCGGTAAAGTCACGTAGAAGGGAAATAATAAAATAACAAAAATAAAACATAATAAAATAATTCTCACGACGTTTCGGCCACAGCGCAAGCAGCCGTCCTCAGGTGAAGAACAGGGCTGTCGGGAAGACCATTCAGACTCTGTCTTCTCGACAGACCTGTTCTTCACCTGAGGACGGCTGCTTGCGTTGCGGCCGAAACGTCGTGAGAATTATTTTATTATGTTTTATTTTTGTTATTTTATTATTTCCCTTCTACGTGACTTTACCGAAAGAACCAAGAAGATTCAACATTCATATGTACACACAAACACGCAATATTATTATAGATCAGACCGGAAAGCACAAGCACAGTGGAGGCGGAGCGACGATATGAGCTCACGCGCGGGGGCGGCGGGGAGCGAGATCGATCCCGGCATCGCTAACCGTCAACAATGGAGACGGCCCGTCATCTAGCAGTGCACGGACCATGGCTGATGATGCTGCTGCTGCTGATCATCATCATCATCAGCTGAGCGGAGCGGGTGTGCAGCGGCAGGTGAGAGGCTGCCCCGCTGTTCTGTCCATGAGAGAGAGTGGGAGAGAAGGAACAGGCCTTCCGTGTTTGACATCGCACGCATTTTTGCATCTCGTGAAACCGTTACGCGGGCTGCCCCGCAGCAGAGCCCGGAGGCGAATGGGCGCACCGCGTGCTCCGTGTGCGTTCGCCTCCCTGCCGCTCGCGAACGCCAGGCAATTCTACGCCACGCTCGTTACGCGCAACGAAAGACCGCGAACGAACCGCCAGAGTTGCATCGCCGTCGTCACGCGAACTCCGCTTCATCCTCGCAGCGGCGGATTTTGGCTCGGCCGTCGCGTCGCACGGCGCTTTCAGACGCGCTTCTGCGGCCGTCTGGAACGCTCTCTTCCTTCCGGTGTTAGGAAGGCCGCTGGGAGCAATGCGCTTTTTACATCATCTGGATTGAAAATCGTTTCTTGAGAGCTGCTTTTTGCGTTTAGTTTGTTGTCCTTCCCCCGCGCCTCCGATTGAGCACGGTTGGCTACGTACGGCGCGAAAGAAGTTCGACAGACATACACACAGTACTTACTTTCTTATTGTTAACGATGTACACGAGCGAACGTCTACAGTATTGTCCTGCGCCGTTGTGTCACCCCGCTGCGGATCATTGGGGCTTGTTCGAGCGCCAATGTACTTCACGATGCCGCTCAACTCGGCTGTTGCCGAACATGGGCAGCATCTACACGGGAGCACAGAAAAGTACAGTACAACAATGGATCGTCTCCTCTGTTGCACGCAGCCCCACCCTGTACTGGAACACCGATGCAGTGGTACTGGGGGTGGTTACCCATCCTGTAGGGAGCGGCTAGCACTACGCTGCGCTACGAACCCGGCGACACGAGTTCGATTCCCGCTCACAGCCAACATCAGTGGCGATTATCTGAACCGGTCCTGCGCCTCCCCTATGTCGACTCAGCCTCTAATGAGTCCATGGTGCGGTGTCTAAACATCGCCACTGGGGGAGACAAAGGTGGTCGGGCGTGGTGCTGGCCACCCACCCACCCACCTCCTCGTGTGCCGTTCCGTCCTTCATAGGTGCTGCTCGTTAACAGCACTTGCCCCAACAGTCTGTTCAAGCGCGATCCAGGCTCAACCCCGCTTAGCTTGTGAGATCTGGCGAGATCGGGCACTGCCAGGGCTACCGTGGCGCAGACGGCCATGTGGCGACGTCCACCGTACCGTACCGTACTTCTACGCTCCCCCCACCCGCGCTGACCAACCTGGCGAGGCGGTGCAGTACGGTCGAGTAGCCCCCACGGACCCCGCGAGGCTCGCGGGGAGAGCGCCCTCATCCAGCAGCTGATTGGGCAGAAGGGCGGCGCGCACGTCGTCCGCGTGATGTATTTCACGCGTTAATGGATCTCGCGTGACCCCAGGGTCACCTTGACCTTTTAAGGAAGTGGGCGTCCTAGGTCTCGGCGGAACGCCCACGTCGTTTCTGAATGTAAGGCGAAAAAAAAGGTGGGTGGGGGGGGGGGATTGATTGATCGTTAATTAGCTAAGCGAGGCAGGCCGTTTCGCCGCCCGTTGCGTAATTGACTTCTCCACGGAGTGCAATTTGTCCGCTGGATTGCCGATCGCCGGTCGCCGGTGAGATCCACGCGCAATTGGGTGGCCTTAAATCAAGCGGCGGATAGAGAACGGATGCATTTGCGTCTGTAAAAGCAATTGGCTGTTGCCGATGGTATGTATGTACACAGTTAATGCCAGACTATGCGGTGCGTCGTATGTGCTGTGGCGGGAGCGGGGTGGTACAGTCGTTAGTTTAGTTCACGCAATGTGTGATGTACGTTGAACTTCTTTCGCACCGTACGTAGCCAACCGTGATAATCGGAGGCCCGGGGGAAGGACAACAAACTAAAAAACAAAAGCGGTTCTAAAGAAATGGGTTTTCAATCTAGATGGTGATTTAAAAGTGCATAGCTCCCATGCACATTGGTGTTGGACCAGATGACTAGGCTCTAAGAAAAGCTGTCTCGGGTGTGGACCAATCAACTTCAAGGACAGTGCATATCATTATCAGAGTTGTTTCTTTTTGTTGGCATTTTGACTGCTTGTGTTGTGGTTATTGCAAACATGATGCCTTGTATAAAGGTGTCAGTTTTGTACCAGTTGAAAGGATAAAAACCTACTACTATATTTTGCCACTGGTAAAGGAGATGTCTCATAGAGTATATCAATTGCTATCGTGGCTTGCTGCAGCCATTTGTGAAATCCGTTCCAGGGAGGGGCTTTGTAAAATTCGCTGTCTTTGCACTTTTTCCGTGGATTGGTAAAAATTAGGGGCTCTCCCGAGTGAGATGTTCCATTCAACCCGGTGTTAATTGTCGTCGTCATCGTCGGCTGAAAAAAATTGTGCATCGCAATCGTCAATTGTTATGTCCTTGCAGGTGGTAACTTAAATCGTCATCATTCATAATTGTTGTGATCATCGTCATTGTCGATGTAGTCATCGTCATTATCGCCTTCCCTCCAGAGTTGGTCACATGTATTATTGTCATGGTTGTCACAACGTCGTCGTCTTCAGAGCTGGTACAATTCATCATCACCACCATGATTAATCATAACGATCATCTCCATCATCACATCACCACTATCGTGATTCATTATAACGATCATCTCCTTCATCATCATCATCACCATCATAATTCATTATAATAGTCATCTCCATCATCATCACCACCATGATTCATCATAATAATCATCTCCTTCATCATCATCACCACCATGATTCATCATAACGATCATCTCCTTCATCATCATCACCACCATCATAATTCATTATAATAGTCATCTCCATCATCATCACCACCATGATTCATCATAACAATCATCTCCTTCATCATCATCACCACCATGATTCATCATAACGATCATCTCCTTCATCATCATCATCACCATCATAATTCATTATAATAGTCATCTCCATCATCATCACCACCATGATTCATCATAACAATCATCTCCTTCATCATCATCACCACCATGATTCATCATAACGATCATCTCCTTCATCATCATCATCACCATCATAATTCATTATAATAGTCATCTCCATCATCATCACCACCATGATTCATCATAACAATCATCTCCTTCATCATCATCACCACCATGATTCATCATAACGATCATCTCCTTCATCATCATCACCACCATCATAATTCATTATAATAGTCATCTCCATCATCACCACCATGATTCATCATAACAATCATCTCCTTCATCATCATCACCACCACCATAACCCGTTATATTAGTCATCTCCATCATCATCATTTTCACCTCCACAAATCCCAAGTCGGCACCACCAGGTGTGTCCCGGTAACCCCAGCGTGGCGTGTCGGCAGTTGTACTCCGGAGAGACGACGGCTTCTTGTCGCCACAGTAGCGTGGAATTTCCACCACCGGCTCGGAACATCACCACGAGCGGCGAGCCAACCCACCCCCAACCCCCCCCGTGCCCATTGAACCGTGGTGGGGGCTGGTTGGGGGGCAGAGGGAAGCTTTTGGCTGTCATCGTGTGTTGGTGCTGCAGCGTTGCGCCATGTCGCTCGCTCGCTCGGGGACGGGAGAGGGAGACTCTGCATGGCTGGGTGCTCCCGGCCGTTGTGCGGTGGTCCGGTGGCTGTTTGCGAGACCGTGGCTCAATGAAGGGTTGGTCACTGTTTGTCATGCTGCATCGGCACGACGGATTTGCGTGTACGTGGCGTGTGCATGTGTGCGTGTGTGTGTGCGTGTCAGTGGGGAGCGGTTAGCGCTACGCTGCGCTCCGAACCCGGCGACCCGAGTTCAATTCCCGCTCACGGCCAAGACCCAGTGACGATTATTTGAACCGTTCCTGGGCCTCCCCTAGGTCAACTCTGCCTCAAATGAGTACCTGGTAATGTGTGTAAACATCGCCACTAGGGAGACAAAGGCGGTCGTGCATGGTGTTGGCCATCCACCCCCTCGTGTGCCGTCCTGTACCGGCCTTCATAAGCACTTGCCCTAACAGTTTGTTGAAGGCTGTACAGGGGATCTTCTGTATTTGTACATGTGTGCTTGGGTTCACACACGCGTGCATATATATGTGTGTGCGTGTTGAGTGGTATTACAATCCTCGCCACGCAAGTTCAATTCGTGGGCATGTAGCGCATCAGTGGCACAACGTATGGCCTGGCCTCCCCTAGGTCGACCCAGCCTAAAATTAGCACTGTACAGTATAGCTGCCATCAGCACTGGGGAGACAAAGATGGCAGGGCAAGCATGGTGGTGCTGACAACATCGTTGCCTCGTGTGCCACGCCTGTCCAATTAGCACGTTTGGCTACGTACGGTGCGAAAAAAGTTCAACATACATAGACTCACACAGAGACCCATAAACTCCCACACGGAGACCCATAGACTCACACAGAGACCCATAGACTCCCACACGGAGACCCATAAACTCATACAGAGACCCATAGACTCCCACACGGAGACCCGTAGACTCACACAGAGACCCATAGACTCCCACACGGAGACCCATAGACTCACACAGAGACCCATAAACTCCCACACGGAGACCCATAGACTCACACAGAGACCCATAGACTCCCACACGGAGACCCATAAACTCATACAGAGACCCATAGACTCCCACACGGAGACCCGTAGACACTCCTATAGAGACTCATAGACTCCCACACGGAGACCCATACACTCATACAGAGACCCATAGACACTCACACAGACACCCATAGACTCTCACACAGACACCCATAGATTCACACAGAGACCCATAGACTCACAGAAACTCACAGACTCACACAGAGACCCACAGACTCACGCGGAAACCCATTAAAGGGTGAACGCCCACGAAAGCTGGTGACGACGATCTCGTGCGTAAAAATCCCAATGATAGTCAATTGTGGGCAATCTTTAAAATGCAGCAAATTTGTACCCTTTTCAAATTCGGTTACCACGGCGAATGACGTCACACGATCTTGAACGTCCACTCCACCGGGCAGCAGACGGCCGCGTGGTAGCAAACCTGTAGTCGATAACAACGCCCGCGTCGCCGGCAACTGGATACGAACCACGAACCTCTGCGGCGAGAAGCGACCGCCGGTTCCACGTTTCCGCACGCGTCCCCGCAGCCTCGAGCGTAGGCCTCGGCACGAGTTGTCTCTTGTGCCGCTACGCGTGCGTTTTACGCGTGATTTGTAAATGATCGCGCATTGGAACGTCGAATCGACGGCCGCTCGGGAGGCCGTGGCGCACTTTGGTGTTAAATTATGGATGAACCTTCCCCCACTGCCCCCACTTGCCCCTCCCGGGGGCGATTTGGCAAGGTGCATTGATGATGATGTTGATAATAATAGGCGGTGTGAGCCTGTGCACGTATGTACGTGCGTGTGTAATAAGAGCTGTGCAGCTCGGCGGAAGCCTTACCCGGTTAAAATAGAAAATAGTTTTATTGTTTCAATAGTAGAAATCTAGGGTTTCAAGAATAGCAAATTGATTGTCTGTTCCCGGCCACCAATTATCCGCACACTAATATTACATCGAATACGATTTTGCCCTCAATTCGTTTAAATTCCCAGTGAAACGTGCCAACATTGGGCTAACGTTGGCACGACGGGCCCACAGTTCCAAGCTCACTGGTTTTCTTACCTCCTTGATGGAAATTGAAAATGTTCGATTCGACCGCCACGGCGACTGACGATCTCGTAGCAGAGTGAGCGGGGAGACTGTGACCTTTGCTGTTTAAAAAAATGATTTTTGCTTTAAAGACCGCTTTTCGGGAAAAATCTCTCTGTCAAAGCCGCACCCCGGCACGCGTGGTGGTGATAACCATTGCGCTGTGAGAGTTCCAAATCGGAGGTTTCGTCTCGTGACGAGATGCCGATGAGCACAATCGCAATCGCAATGTGGAAAAGGGACCAAAACATTAACAGAAGCTCATCGATTATCAGGAGATCATCGATTATCAACTGCTAACGAATGCACGGCAGGTCCCAGGATTCTCTTCGTAAACGGGAGACCGTAGTTTCGCCGCGTGGTGCACATCTGTGTGTTGTTCACATCGTGCAGCAGCTGGAGATGTTTGTTTGTTTGTTTAAAATAACAATTTGTCTTTGTCGGCATCGCTTGCGCACATTAACAACGCCGAGCGCGGAACTCTCTGTGCCAGACTCCGACCGAGTGGAACAGAGGTTCTCCCGAAGGGATCTCGGCGGTAGCTTTGCGGTATCCGCCTCCGTTGGTTCATTCTCTAATGCGACAGATTGCGATGTTTGGCAACGGATCCTGAATCTCATGACGTGGCACCGATAACATGATGTGGATAAAATTGTGGGTGGCGGGGGGGCGTGTTGTGGGCGGTGTGTGTGTGGTGGGGAGGAGGGAGGGAGTCCGCAAAGCTAAAATAAATTTCAATTATATTTCAATTATATTTAAATAGCATCAAGTCTGTCTTGAAAACTCACCTCTCTAAACTGGCCTTTAACCCCCCTCTAGTTCTGGCCGTGCACCCTGTGTAGGTTGTGTCAATTTCCTGTCTTTCCATACACGACGGCGCATCAGTGGGATCCACGAGTGAAATGCGGCATTTCACAGCCGTGAATTTTTATCGCCATTATGAGACGGTGGGTCTCACGGCCTGTTGTTGTGTTCTTGTCGTTGTTGTTGTTGTTCTGCAGGAGGAAGAGGAAAGGATGGCTCGCCCATCATCACTCTGCCCGAGTGCCCCAGCTTCTGCGAACTCCCCGACGCCGACTTCCAAACCATCCTCCAGTACCTGACGAGCATTCCCAAGTGAGGGCGCGGACCCGTGCACGAATCCTCGCGTCTCATCGTCATTGATTCATTCGTGATCGTCGTCGTCGCCGTGGTTATCATCATCATCGTTAAAATCACGGTCATCGGCGTCATCGCCGTCGTGATGGACTCGGGGTCATATCATGGCATTGCAGTCATCGTTGTCATCATCATCATGGACGCATGTACAGTGGGCCTCATTTCATTCCCATCACCATGTCCCGTGCCAGCCGCGCTAAGTAGGTGATAATTTTGAAAATAGGATTTTTTTTTAAACGATCAATGTAGTTATTAACAACAACGGCAACAAAAATAATTGTACATCTGCTGTTCCCTTTGACTTTGCTCTCACCGGCGACGGGACGACACGCTAACTACGGCAATTATTCCCGGGGGCGTCTGCCGTCCCCGCCGCGATTCTTTAATCTATTTTGAGTTGCTCGTTAATTGGAAGCTCGAAACGAGCGCGTGTGCGGCCTCCTGCACGAGTGCGGGAGATCAAGCAAAGCCTGGCCCAAGAGCGTCGCGCTCAATCGCTCGGCCAACCGTCAGCGTTTTAATTGCTCGAACGGTTCGGCCCGCCGAAGGGAAAAATGTAAACGGCGGCTTCGGGAGTCTCCGCCGCCGCCGCCCTCAACTCCCCAGGGCTATCGTGCACGCGCCCGCCTTGACCGGCGCCTCACGTTTTTGTGGCTTGTGCTTTGTGTCTGCGAGTAGGCCTTCACAAACTATTTTGTGAATGTATGTCAAAGCGGGGGGGCGGTAGGGAGTGCTTGACACTGGCGCCCTTCCTCCTAACCCAGCTTAAATATACGCTGCCAAGCTTGGTGGTGTTCATTCAGACGCTGTCTTTCCGACAGACCTGTTCTTCACCTGAGGACGGCTGCTTGCGTTGTGGCGGAAACGTCGTGAGAATTGTATTTTATTATGTTTTATTTTTATTATTTTATTATTTCCCTTCTACGCGACTTTACCGAAAGAACCAAGAAGATGAAAAGCACAACATGTTTTTTTTATTTTCCAAATATATATGAATATTTTTTCCAGGTAAGGCCTACTGAGCTTCATAGCTCTTTTTCAGAAGTGACCTGGCCACTCACGAGTGTTCAACATTTGAACATTTATAGCACCAAATTAATCTCAATGCCTGTTTCTCAAACCGGAGGAACCACGCGACCATGCGGAGAGAGACACGCGAACTCCAAATATACATTCTAGATTTGAAGCTTTCGTGACTGCAAGGATTCATACTCTTAGTTTTTAAATCCTTTATATTAAGTTTGCTTGCTTGCTTGCTTGCGTGCTTGCGTGCTTACGTGCTTGCTTGCTTGCTTACGACTGTGTAAATCTTTCGGTCGTTTTTTAACCCATTTCCCGTGATCCAATCGAGTTGACATTTTGCACACAGACTCGTTGTGCGTGACAATTAATGTTCGTGAAAATTTTTTTCCAACATTTTACACTGTTTAGGGAAAACAAATTAAATATTTAATTACCAATTGCTTAATACTGGCAGACAATCATCTGACCCATAGGTGGCAGCCATCTCAAGCCAGAGGACGAGAGGACTCTAGCCGCCACGCATATAAAGGATTTATAGTGAAAAACTTTGTTTTTACGGGTTATACTTATTTTTCCGTTAAAGTCACGTAGGTAAAAATGAAATTAAAATTAATAAAAACAAAATAATAAAAATCACGACGTTTCGGAGGCAACAGAAGTCTCCGTCATCAGGTGGGACCGTCACAGCCAGATTTGCTGTATCAAGTGATTTTTATTATTTTATTTTTATTGATTTTAATTTCATTTTTTACCTACATGACTTTACCGAAAAAAAACTAAGAGTCCAAATATACAGCAGGCGTCAGGGTCGGGATCGAACCCCCGACCTGCTGCCCACCAGACGAGGCAGTCAACATCACACCGCCCCGTGTGTAATGACCGCAGCCACCGACTGTAAAACTACTGTCTGTCCGTCTGTGAAGCAACGACGCTTTCATGATACGCCCGGGCCGTGTGAGAGTGTCGCGCAAATGCCGAACGTGCTCATTTGCGATGGTAATTTGTCATCGCGCTCACGGCCAATCTGCACAGACGCGTCCAGTATACGTGGCCTATTTATTTTACGACTTCCCATGTATTATTATTAGAGTTATTATTCGTACATGTTGATTCACTGGATGGGGGGTTCTCTGCCCATCACCGTATATCTAATTTTCCAATTAAGCTTTCCTGTCGAGTGGTCGTCACGGAGATGAACTTTACAGGATTGAAGCGAGGCCCTTGGATTTGCCTCATTACTGTCACACAGCAAAGCAGGGGGGGACGCTTGCTTAAATAAAAAAATAGAAATATAAAATCGGAGTTGAGACCGATCACTAAAATTCCACGCTGCCGCGTGACAATTCCATCACCCTCCTCTTCCACTCCTCCTGTCCGGGTGGTCACGGTTACAAAGTGCTCCGGCCGTCCAGTGGCTCATGGGTAGGTTAGTGGGTCGCGAGGCACACAAACGGCTATCTTGCCAGTCCACCGCTGGATAAAGGCCTTCCCCCCACGCCAGATGGGGGGGCCTTCAACGACGCGGCGCCCTGCGGGGTCGACATGGAACCGTAGATTTATTCTGCCACTTTCTGGATGATTTATTTATTTTCCACCCCCCCCCCTCCCCCAATCTCTGGAGCTCTGAAGGAACGGCGTGAGCTGACAATGGGCTCCCTCTGTGGGAATGCCGTGGGTTTTCGGTGAAGGCCGAGAGGGGAGGGAGGGAGGAGGAAAGGAAAGGAAAAGAAAAGAGGCACCCCCCCCCCTGCCTGCCTGCCCACGCTTTGTGCGGGTTGAGCGATTCAGGAACAGGGGTCGGGTTTCACGAGCCGAGCCGCAATTTCCGTCCGGTCAAAGGAGCAGAAGGAAAAATGTCGAGGAAATTAATCCGAGTTAAAAAGCCACGCGGCGATTTTATTATTATTGTGATTAGAAAAAATTAAACGCCTCTGCAGCAACCTTAGGAAGACGATGACGATCGTTATTTGCCAATCCACTGCTCGATGAAAGTCCTCGCCATGCCGTGCCGCTTTGTCCGAGGGGAGATTATTTCGATTTCTGATTTCTGCGGGAGGACCTCTGTGTGTAGCGATTTATTGATTTAATTTAAAAGCACGTTGCTTGCTCAGAAAGCGGCCTCCACGAGGCTCCGCGGAAGAGCGAGCGGCTCGCGATCGAGCTGTTACGGGTTCAATCCCTGGTCAGGGGTTGATTCGGCCCATCAGTCCTCTGGGGTGGTACAATTAGCAGCACTCTTGAGAGGAGGTCACAAGTGGTTGTCTTCCAGATAACAACGCCTCCACCACCCCCACCTCCCCCGCCCTCACCTCCGCCACCTCCGCTCCCACCGCCCCCACCGCCCCCACCGCCCCCACCTCCATCGCCCCCACCTCCTCCGCTCCCACCTCCTCCGCCCCCACCGCCCCCACCGCCCCCACCTCCTCCGCTCCCACCTCCACCGCCCCCACCTCCTCCGCTCCCACCTCCTCCGCCCCCACCTCCTCTGCCCCCACCGCCCCCACCGCCCCCACCTCCTCCACCTCCTCCGCCCCCACCTCCACCGCCCCCACCTCCCCCGCCCCCACCTCCGCCTCCCCCACCTCCTCCGCCCCCACCTCCTTCGCTCCCACCTCCATCGCCCCCACCTCCTCTGCCCCCACCGCCCCCACCGCCCCCACCTCCTCCACCTCCTCCGCCCCCACCTCCATCGCCCCCACCTCCTCCGCCCCCACCGCCCCCACCGCCCCCACCTCCACCGCCCCCACCTCCTCCGCCCCCACTGCCCCCACCGCCCCCACCTCCGCCCCCACCTCCTCCGCCCCCACTGCCCCCACCACCTCCAGCTCCTCCGCCCCCACCTCTGCCTCCCCCACCTTCGCCTCCCCCACCTCCGCCCCCCCCGTGGGATGTGAAATTTCCACCATCGGCTCCGGGATGTAAAGGTGAGCACTCACGTGGGCGTTGTGTCGTTGCGTCTCTCTCCCTCGCAGGCTGGACACGGAAGATGCTGGCTTCATCCTGGTCATCGATCGTCGGCAAGACCGATGGAGTTCGCTGAAAGTGGTGCTCATGCGCATCTCCGTAAGCGGCGTGCGGTGGTGTTGATTCTTCTTCTTTCATAATGAACGTTTTTGGGTTTAGATCGCGTTATTTATAAATGTGTCGTAACCCTCCACCACCCGACACGGCCAATCAGTAAAAATGTGTCACTTTGACAAAGACAAATAGTTCACTGCTTTAGCCCACCGGTGTGTTGAAGCCACAACATTTACAATTTGAGTACGACGTTTCGCTGGTAATTGCAACCAGCATCATCGGGCAATTCGCAGCGATCTCCACAGCTCCCGTTACCCCCCGTGCGACCTCCACTCAATCTTCTGCGAATGTCGCGCTGGTTGGCTGCGCCCCACTATTTTAATTCTTTGCACAGTTGACCCCATTGCGGGCGGCGCGCTCTGCGATGTGCCGTGTGTGTGTGGCGCGCGCTCGCGGCTTGGGTGTGTTGTGCTCCGATGTGTCCTGCGTGTTTTGTGTGTGAGCATGCGGCGTGCACTCACGTGCTCTGTGTGCGGCGTGTACTCACGTGCTGTGTACTCACGTGCTGTGTACTCACGTGCTGTGCACTCACGTGCTGTGTACTCATGTGCTGTGTGCTCCATGTGCTGTGTGCTCCACGTGCTCACGTGCTGTGTACTCACGTGCGGCGTGCAGGAGCTGTTCCCGGCCGGTCTGCGCGAGGTCCACGTGCTGCGTCCGTGTGGCTTCCTGCAGTCGACGTTCTCCAGCTTTGGCCTGAGGTTCAGCAAAGATGAGTTCAACTTACCTGTGCAGGTAATGGCTCGACAGCCCCGCCCCCCCCACGCCCCTCCCCCCCACGCCCCCCTCCACCCCCACTCCCCCTCCTCTCTCTAACAGCTCCACTCTGCTTTTTAAATCCTTTATATTAAGTTCACTCGCTTGCTTGCTTGCGTGCTTACGACCGTGCACATCTTTCGGTCGTTTTTTAACCCATTTCCCGTGATCCAATCGAGCTGACATTTTGCACACACAGACTCGTTGTGCGTGACAATTTATTTTCGTGAAAATTTTTTTTCCATAACTTTACACTTTTTAGAATTTTTTTTTTATATTTAATTACCAATTGCTTAATGGTGGCAGACAATCATCTGACCCATAGGTGGCAGCCATCTCAAGCCAGAGGACGACAGGACTCTAGCCGCCACGCATATAAAGGATTTATAGTGAAAAACTTTGTTTTTACGGGTTAATTTTTTACGTCCGGCTGCCTTGGTCGTTCGAGAAATCCCGAGATCGCAAGTTGATTTCAAAACGTTATAATACAAGCACAGTGCCACATTTGTGTAAAACCTTATTTCTTTAGAACTTATTTTTGTGTTTAGTTTGTTGTTCCATTCCCCGCCACCCCCGATTATCGCGGTTGGCTACGTACGATGTGAACTTACATACGTACGCACGTGCGTACAGGACACATGGTGTGGACTTAACAGGTGCTCGCTAATTCTATATTTGAAGTTTTTATGACTGCAAGGATCCATGCTCTTTGGTTCTTTCTGGTAAAGTCATGTAGGTGAAAATAATAATACAAATCATAAAAGAAAAGAAAAATTTAAATAACTAAAATTTTGTTATTTTCATTTTCTATTTTATTTAATTTGTATTTTATTATAGTTTTCTTCTTATTATTTATATTTTTACCTACGTGACTTTACCGAAAGCGTACACCTGTCCAAACAGCCTGCGTAGGCTACGCGAGGGATCCTTGTTTTGTATCTGAGTGTGTCCATGTGTGCGTGCGCGTGTGTGTTGAAAGGCAGGTGATCGGGAGTGTATCGGTTAGCGTCCCGTGCTGTCAACCCACATGGCGACCCAATGTTACTGTGTGGTAGTGTTACTGTGTGGTAGTGTACCGTGACACAGTGTGGGGAGCGGTAGTGCAGTGGTTAGCGCTACGCTGCGCTACGAACCCGGCTCCCCGAGTTCGATTCCTGCTCACGGCCAACACCAGTGACGATTATCTGAACCGGTCCAGGGCCTCCCCTAGGTCGACTCAGCATCAAATAAGTACCTGGTGCGGTGTGTAGTAAACATCGCCACTGGGGAGACAAACGGGGCCGGGCGTGGTGCTGGCCACCCACCCCCTCGTGTGCCGTGCCGGCCTTTGCAAGCACTACTCGCTAACGACACTTGCCCCGACCGTCTGTCGAAGGCTACCGGGGTGATCTTTGTCTTTGTGTGTGTGCGAGCAGCTCATGCTGCCCAACTCCCTGGGCGAGCTGCACATGTCCATAGACCGGTCGCAGCTCACGCCGGAGCTGGGAGGCACCCTGGTCTACACGCACTCCGAGTGGATCCAGCTGCGCTCCGTACGTCCCTCCCGTCGCCTCTGTCGCTTACGATAACGCCACCGATAACACCACCGATGACAACACCGAATTGTAACGGAAACATGGGGGGGCTGGGAGGGGGGTGGGGAGAAACGTGTGTATGTTGAACTTCTTTCGCACCGTACGTAGCCAACCGTGCTGATTGGAGGTGCGGGGGAAGGATAATACTTTTTTTTTTAATATACAGCGTGAATAATTGAAAGCGCGTTGGCCCCTAAGAAATTCCGTTTTTTCTTCCAGCCAGCAGGCCTCTATAGAGAGGTCAAGAAAGGTCATGCACGGCATGGGAATCACGGGAGGGCTCATGCATTTTGCGAGCGCTCCCCTTGCGAGCGCTCGCCAGCGAGTTTAAAAACGATTAAAAAAACAACGAATTTCAATTTGACAAGGTAAGGCCCACTAAGCTGTATCGCTCTTTTTTGTTTGGCGAAGCAAAGTGGCCGCAAATGAAAGTCACGGAGCGGTGGTGTAGTAGCCTGCGGTCAAACAAAATCCAACTTTTGCCTCCTTTCGCCAGGACCTGGAGGGATTCTCGGAGGTGGCGCGCGACGCGGTGCACACCCTGCAGGCGGTGGGCCTGGAGCTGGCCGAGACGGAGCTGCCCAACACCGTGAGGGCCACCGAGGAGCTGCTGGGGGCCCACGGGCGCCAGCGCGACGACGTCAAGGTGAGACGTCGCCGCGTCGCCCCGGGGCAACGTGCCGCCCCGGTCGCGGCCGCCCCGCCCCGGCACCTCGGGTGGTTCGGGTGGTTCGGGTGGTGCCGCGAGGCTCTCCCAAAGGCGCCGGACCTAGGCGGCAGCGGTGGTGGCGGCGCCGGCCGTTTGTGGTGAAGCTGTGTGGTGGCGGGCGGTGTGGTATGTGGCCTGTGTGGTGGTCTGTGGTGGTGGCCAATGTGGTTTGGTGAGTCTGTGCGGTGGCTAGTGTGGTGGTGGTGGTGGTGCGGTCTGGTGTGGTGAAGCTGTGTGGTGGCGGGCGGTGTGATGTGGTGGGTAGCCTGTGGTGTGGTCGGTCGTGCTGTGTGGTGGTCGAACAGCATCTGTCTGTCTCCGTAGACCACACAGACAAACAACAGCCAATGAGAATGTGGCTTGACGGTTAACGTTACCAGTCAGTGCCGGTGTAATGCTCTCCTAAGCAACAGACGACGACAAAGTCGCACACACGCACACACACACACACGCGCACACACACACGCACACACGCACACGCGAGCACGCACACACGCACACGCACACACACACGCACACACACGCACACACGCACATACACACACACGTACGCAGTTGCACCCGGATAAAAATTAGCAACGCAAATTACGAACCGAGGCTGCGGAAAGCACAAATCTAAAATGTCCGAACAACTATTACATCTCACAAATGTTACCGGGTGACAGGGGTGGGGGGGGGGTAACGATGGAGTGGCAGGGGGTGGCGGGGGGTGACGAGGAAGCGGGGGGTGGGGGGGTGGGGTGACGGGGGGAGGGGGTGACGGGGGGTTGACCGTCCGTGCCTGACGTCCGCGCGTCTCTCCGCAGGCCCTGCTGGAGTCCGTGCTGGAGCAGGGCCGCCGCCTGCTCAGCAAAATCGCCGAGCCGACCTCCAGCGACCCCGGCTACCAGCCGAGCCTCGACCGCCTGCAGGGGATGCGCTCCGTGCAGCGGTGAGAGCGCCACCCGCCAGCGGGGAGCCCCGCACACTTTTAAATCGACTCAAAACTCACCGCTTGAGAACTGCTTCTCGCGTTTCGTTTGTTGTCCTCCCCACTCCCCCCGCTCCCCCCGCTCCCCCCCGCTCCCCCCGCTCCCCCCGCTCCCCCCGCTCCCCCCGCTCCCCCCGCTCCCCCCACTCCCCCCGTTCACCCCGCTCGCCCCGTTCGCGTGGTTTGTCGCCACGTACGCTACACGACCTTACCCCGGACAACCTTTGTATCTCCCCGAACCTTCACCTTTCCTGCGCATCGGGATTCTGCCCTCGCAGACGCGACGGCTCCTGCCCCCCCCTGCCTCCCCCTGCCCCCCCCTGCCCCCCCACCACCCGGCCCGCACCCACGGCCCCGTCCGGTACGAAACGAAACCGAGGCCCTGCCTCCTGTCGTTCCCGCCAGGCTCCTGTCGCGGCTGGGCGAGGCGGACGGTGCCGCCGACAAGTTCTGGGCCAAGCACCACCTGAAGCTGCAGCAGTGCCTTCAGTTCCGCTACTTCGAGCAAGACTTCCGGGAGGTGCCGACCGCTGACCATATCAAAAAGATGCTCGTCGCTGAGGGGGGTGGAGATTTTAAACGGCGGTTCTTTTTTAAATCCTTTATATTAAGTTCGCTTGCTTGCTTGCTTGCTTACGACCGTGCAAACCTTTTGGTCGTTTTTTAACCCACTTCCCGTGATCCAATCGAGCTGACATTTTGCACACCGACTCGTTGTGCGAGACAATTAATGTTCGTGAAAATTTTTTTTCCAAAATTTTACACTGTTTAGGGAAAACAAATTAAATATTTAATTACCAATTGTTTAATACTGCAGACAATCATCTGACCCATAGGTGGCAGCCATCTCAAGCTAGAGGATGAGAGGACTCTAGCCGCCATGCATATAAAGGTTATACTTATTAGAAGGGCGGGGTGGGAGGTGCAGACGTGGAAGGTGCTCTGATCAGAAATCGTGCCTCGTGCTGGAGGAATCCACGTGACGCGGCCAATCAGTAAAGGTTTGTCACGTGAAACACAACGTGCCAATTTGTTACAGCAAATCGGTGTGTGGGAGAGTAAACCCACCACATCTACAACCAGTGGTTGTTAGCGATCTCGACCACCGGCCGTGGATGAAGGTGTGCGCTTGCGATGAAGGACTGAGCGGGGAGCGGTAGCGCAATGGTCGGTGGCCCTCCCCTAGGTCGGGTCGGTGGCCCTCCCCTAGGTCGACTCGGCCTTAAACGGGTAGCCGGCCCGCCACTCTCTCCCCCGCCCCCGACGCCCACCCCGCGTGCCGTGCCGGCCTTCGTAGGTGCTCGCTTAACGGCGCTTGGTGCCGGAGGTCTGTCAAGACTATGGGGGTGGAACCTTTGTCTTTGTCTTTGTCGTCGGTGGTGATGAAGGTGATGGGGCAGTTTGAGGAGCTGCAGGAGAGGAACTCCCGGGTGGCAGCAACGGCCGAAAACTCGGCGCAGGCGAAGGCTCTGCTGCAGGAGCTGCAGAGCCTGGACAAAGCGGCGCAGGTGCTCCCCCATGCAGCGCCGCACAGACGGCTCACCACACTCGCTACGCTTGCTGCCCGCTAGCTACTACCACACCACCACTACTCACTAGCCCATCGCCCCCACTCACTAGCCCATCGCCCCCACTCGCTACACTTTCTGCCTGCTACTCACTACCCCACCACCCCCACTCACTAACCCATCGCCCGCTACTCACTACCCCCCCCACCACCCCTACTCACTACCCCCCCACCACCCCCACTCACTAGCCCACCACCCCACTCGCTACGCTTGCTGCCCGCTACCAACTACCCCACCACCGCACTCACTACCCCACCACCCCCACTCACCACCCCCCCACCACCCCTACTCACTAGCCCACCACCCCCACTCACCACCCCACCACCCCACCACCACCACTCACTACCACCCCTCACTACCACCCCCACTCACCACCCCACCACACCCACCCGTCCCAACCCCCTCGCCCAGCCCTCCCCACACCCACCCCCCTTGCCCAACCCCCCCCGCCCCCACCTCCCCCACTTCCCCCCCCCACACCCCCCCCCCCACCCCTCCGCCCTCCCCACCGTAGGTGACGGTTTGTACTCTGTACCGAGCTCCGACTGGAATATTATAAAAAAACGTAAGAAAAAATATTCATGCTGCAGTTGCTTTGGGTTAGATCGCGTGAATATAAATGTGTGTCGTTAAACCCGCCACCACCCGGCACGGCAAATTAGTAAAAGTTCGTGACGTGAACAGAACGTGCCGATTCGTCACCAGTAGCGCACGCCGGTTGTGTGTTGGAGAGTAAACACGCTACGCAATGTACAATCCGATTACCGTGATGTTTCGCCGGTTATTACACACGGCCAGCATCATCAGACGGACAGCCGCAGAGTTGTGGAGAAGTCCTCCTGATTGGTTCTTAGACAGAGCGGTACATGTGATGTCATCACGTGCGAGCCAATCAAGGCCAGAGGAGGGGGGCGGTGGGTTAATGGATTCATATAAATGACGGTGTATAGCCATTAGCGGTTGGGTTATCGACATGCATTGTGCGTGCGCATTACGCGTGCACGCCTGTACGTCCTGCTGTCGTTAACGCTACTTTAATAAATGATTCG